CCGTTACCAGCTGAAACTCTACAGTGCAAAGAGGAAGCCATTTCTAAGCAAGCTCCACAAGCTCAGACGTTTGCACTGGGCCAGGGGTCATTTAAAATGGAGTGTGGCAAAATGGAAGACTGTTCTGTGGTCAGATGAGTCACGATTTGAAGTTCTTTATGGAACACTGGGACGCCATGTCATCTGGACCAGAGAGGACAAGGATAGCCCACGTTGTTATCAACGCTCTGTTCAGAAGCCTGCATCACTGATGGTATGGGGTTGCATGAGCGCTTGTAGCATGGGCAACTTGCATGTCTGGAAAGGCACCATTAATGCAGAGAACTATGTTCAGGTTCTAGAACAACATATGCTCCCATCTAGACGTCATCTCTTTCAGGGAAGACCCTGCATTTTTCAACACAATAATGCCAGACCACATTCTGCAGCAATCACAACATCATGGCTACGTAGGAGAAGGATCCGGGTACTGAAATGGCCAGCCTGCAGTCCAGATCTTTCACCTATAGAGAACATGTGGTGCATCATAAAGAGGAAGGTGAGACAAAGAAGGCCCAATACGATTGAACAGTTAGAGGCCTGTATTAGACATGAATGGGAGAGCATTCCTATTTCTAAACTTGAGAAACTGGTCTCCTCTGTCCCCAGACGTCTATTGAGTGTTGTAAGAAGAAGAGGGGATGCCACACAGTGGTAAAAATGGACTTGTCCCAACTTTTTTGGGATTTGTTGATGCCGTGAAATTTGGAAACAACAGATTTTTCCCTTAAAATGATACATTCTCTCAGTTTAAACTTTTGATCTGTGATTTGTGTTCTATCCTGAATAAAATATTAGATGTTGGCACCTCCACATCATTGCATTCAGTTTTTATTCACTATTTGTTTAGTGTCCCAACTTTTTTGGAATCCGGTTTGTACTTTAAGGAGGATTAATCTGCACAAGGCAACAGGCACAGACAACATCCCCGGAAAAGTGTTGAAAGAATGTGCCGATCAGCTCTGCGAGGTGCTGGCCGACATCTTTAACATCTCACTTACCCTGGAGACAGTTTCCACCTGCTTGAAGAATGCCACCATGATCCCAGTCTCAGAGCTCTACAGTGACTGGTCTGAATCACTATCGGCCAGTGGCCCTCACCCCGATAGTCGCTAAATGCTTCAAAAACTGGTCATGACCCACATCAAAACAACCATCAACATCAACGAGGACCCTCATCAGTATTCATACCGTGAAAACCGATCAACAGAGGACGCCATCTCCTCTGTGGTCCATACTGCTCTCACCCATCTGGAGCAGAAGGCCTCCTATGTCTGTATGTTCTTTGTGGACTTCACATTTGCCTTCCACACCATGATCCTCCAAACCCTGATGGACAAACTATTCACACTAGGACTAAACCCCTCCATTTGCAACTGGGTACTAGACTTCTTAACAAACAGACCACAGTTAGTGAGGATCCACAATTTCTCCTCCTCCACCATAACCCTCAGCACAGGCTCTCCTCAGGGATGTGTGTTGAGCCCCCTCCTGTTTACTCTGCTCACGTATGATTGTGCACCTACCCAACCAGGCTGCCACATTGTAAAGTTTGCAGATGATACAACGGTGGTGGGATGCATCACTAACAATGATGAGTCCAGCTACAGGCAGGAGGTGGAGCACCTGGAGAACTGGTTCAAAGAGTATTACGTTCACATCAATGTGAAGAAGTCAAAGGAGATGATTGTGGACTTCAGAAGGAACAAACTCACTTACACCCCATTGAACATAAGAGGATCTGCGGTGGAAGTGGTCTCCAGTTACAATACTTGGGTGTACACATGAATGACAACCTCAGCTGGAGCAACAACACCACCAGCCTGATCAAGAAAGCTCATCAGAGACTACTTCCTCAGACGGCTGAGGCGAGCTGGTCTGGGAAGCTCAGTCCTCACCTCCTTCTACATGTGTGCAGTGGAGAGCATCCTGTGCTCGAGCATCAATGTGTGGCATGGAGGCTGCACAGCTGCAGAAAGAAAAGCTTTGCAGAGAGTGGTGAAGGCTGCATAGAAGATGTTGGAGTCGGTCTCCCCACCATCACAGACATCTACACCTCTAGATGCAGGAAGAGGGCCACCTGCACCATGAAGGACCCCACTCACCCAGCTACCCTGAGGCTGTTAGACTCATGAATCTCTAACCAGAATAATCACTGTGTAAAATCGCATCATGTTGCTACTGATCTGTTCCATGTTGAGGTGTTCATGCGTGCTCATCTGCTCACACAGACTCATGTTCATGTTTGTGCTGCTGTTCAACGTAATGTTTTTATGCTGTTAGTGCTTAGTGTATTTTAATTTATGTTTTTCTTAGTTCATATCTTAGATCTTATTACTGTTTTTCTTTTACATTTTATTGTTGGATGTAACTGGGACCCTGTGTACATAATTTCGCTCCACCACATGTACTACATGTGGTGTGAATGACAATAAAGAATGTCTGACTCTGACTCTCTGATTGTTCCTGACATGTTCCTGTTTTTAGTATTTTACACCGTTTTATAATGTAACTTTTTTGTTTGTTTTATATCACTTCTTTTTTTCACTTCTCATTTTATATGCTTTTATATTATTTACACCTAATATTTTAACCATGCATCCATTTTCTTCCGCTTATCCGGGGTCGGGCCGCGGGGTAGCAGCCTAAGTAGGGAGGCCCAGACTTTCCTCTACCCAGCCACTTGGTCCATCTCCTCCAGGGGAATACCGAGGCATTCCCAGGCCACCCGAGAAACATAGTCCCTCCAGCGTGTCCTGAGTCTACCTCTGGGTCTCCTCCCGGTGGGATGTGTCCGGAACACCTCACCAGGGAGGCGTTCAGGAGACAACCTAACCAGATGCCCGAGCCACCTCAACTGGCTCCTCTCGACGTGGAGAAGCAGCGGCTCTACTCTTGAGTCCCTTCCGCGAGATCAAGCTTCTCACCCTATCTCTAAGGGAGAGCCCAGACACCCTGTGGAGAAAACTCATTTTGGCCGCTTGTATCCAAGATTTCGTTCTTTCGGTCACAACCCAAAGCTCATGATCATAGATGAGGGTAGGAATGTAGATCGATCGGTAAATTGAGAGCTTTGCCTTTTGACTCGGCTCTCTCTTCACCACGACAGACCTGTACAGTGCCCGCTTCACTGCAGAAACTGCACCTATCCGCCTATTGATCTCACGTTCCATTTGTCCCTCATTCGTGAACAAGACCTCAAGATACTTGAACTCCTCCACTTGGGGCAGGACCTCCTGACCTCCTCCCTGACCCGGAGAGGGCACTCTACCCTTTTCCAGCTCAAGACCATGGCCTCGGATTTGGAGGAACTGATCTTCATCCCGGCCGCGTCGCACTCTGCTGCGAACCGCTCCAGCGAAAGCTGTAGATCACGATCTGATCAAGCCAATTGGACCACATCATCTGCAAAAAGCAGAGACTCAATCCTAAGGCCACCAAAATGGATCCCCTCAACACCTTGACTGTGCCTAGAAATTCTGTCCATAAAAGTTATGAACAGAATCTGTGACAAAGGGCAACCTTCGCGGAGTCCAACTCTCACTGGGAACATGCCCGACTTACTGCCAGCAATGCGGACCAGGCTCTGACACCGGTCATACAGGGACCTAACAGCCCGTATCAAAGGGCCCGGTACCCCATACTCCCAATGTACCCCCTACAGGGTTCCCCGAGGGACGCGGTCGAACGCCTTCTCCAAGTCCACAAAGCACATGTAGTCCGGTTGGGCAAACTCCCACGCACCCTCCAGAACCATGTTGAGAGTGTAGAGCTGGTCCAGTGTTCCATGGCCAGGACAAAAACTGCACTGTTCCTCCTGAATCTGAGGTTCGACTATCCGACGGACCCTCCTCTCCAGAACCCCCGAATAGACCTTACCAGGGAGGCTTAAGAGCCTGATCCTCCTGTAGTTGGAACACACTCTACGGTCCCCCTTTTGTAATAGGGGGACCACCACCCCGTTCTGCCAATCCAGGGGAACTTCCTCCGATGTCCACGTAATATTGCAGAGTCACGTAAGCCAACACAACCCTACAACATCCAGTGCCCTAAGGAACTCCGGGCGAATCTCATCCACCCCTGGTGCCCTGCCACCGAGGAGATTTTTAACCACCTCAGTGATCTCAGCACCAGAGATTGGAGGGCCCGACCCAGAGTCCCCATGCTCCACTTCCTCAGTGGAAGACGTTCCAGTGGGATTGAGAAGGTCTTCAAAGTACTCTGCCCACAGACCCACGACATCCCGAGTTGAGGTCAGCAGCTCACCACCCCTACTATAAACAGTGTTGGTGGTATACCGCTTTCCCCCCCCGAGATGCCGGATGGTGGACCAGAATAGCCTTGACGCCGTGCAGAAGTCATTCTCCATGGCCTCTCCAAACTCCTCCCATGCCCGAATTTTTGCCTCAGCGACCTCCTGAGCCGCATGTCGCTTGGACTGCCGGTACCCATCAGCTGCTTCCGGGGTCCCACAGGCCAAAAAGGCCCGATAATACTCATTCTTCAGCCTGACAGCATCCCTCACCGTCGGTGTCCACCACCGGGTTCGAGGGTTGCTGCTGCGACAGGCACCGACAATCTTGCGTCCGCAGCTCCGGTAAGCCGCCTCGACAATAGAGGCACGGAAAATGGCCTACTCGGACTCAATGTTTTATATGAATGTTTATTGTTGTGTGTACCTTTTCTGTGGTTTTTATTTAAATCCGCTCTCTTGTAAATGAGTCCTCGTGACTCAATGAGACTAATATTAGTATAAATAAATGTTGAATTAATGAATTTGGCATAGGAATTAAATTCAACACCTTTGTGTATAATATCACAGCAAACGTGCAAAGGGAAGGCAGAAAATGACACACCAGCCATTTTTTTGTGTCGTAACATTCTTCCTCTCAGAGTTGGACTTTGCTATAGTTATAATTTGACCTGTTATGATGGTAAACAGCTGTTCTTCATTTCAACAGCTCAGCCCAACCATGATCCCAACACTCACCACTGCCTGTGTGGAGCTGATGGTAAGTCTTCAGACCATCACACCTCTCTCTCTCTAACAAGCTGGCAGGTGTTATTCCACCTTCACCTGAGTGATGTCTCTTCTTTCCAGCTGACCTCATCATGCTGGGCCTGGCCACCCATGAGCCCAACTTCACCATCATCCGAGAGGAGTTCAAACCCAACAAACCACGGCCCTGCGCTCTCTGCGGACAGATGGGTCATGAACTGAAGGAGTGTCAGGGCACAGCGAGAGAGAAGCAGGGACAGGTGGGTCCTCTGGGTTCTCTAACGGTTTCTGTATGTATTTTATATTCTTTATGTATTTTATTTTCTGTATGTATTTTATATTTCAATTTATTCCTGTTGATCTTTGCAATGTGCTTGTTTGTTTTAACACAATCTTTCTGATATGTTTCTTACTGTAAAGTGTCCTTGGGTGTCCTGAAAGGCGCTTTTTAAATAAAATGATGATTATTATTATTATTTATGTCACATGACAATTTGATGAATTATCAGTCATATTTAAAGCATTTGTTATGTCCTTCTCTTTCAGCATGATGAGTTTGCAGACACAATACCGACGGCTGAGCAGGAATTCATCTTCATCAGACTGTCTGTTCTCAGGGAGGTCAGTCATTAGACCTTAATCTCATTGTAATCTTTATCACTACATCTAAAATATTGTCACTTTTAACTTCAGTATTCATGGAAAAGTCAACAACAAGTTTAAATTAGCATATGTCATTTAAAATGGAACAAAGCAGAACATCTCTAAAATTTTATTCTTCAACACTTAAATATCTGAAAAATTATATGTGAGTTTTTGTGGGGCATTAAAAAGTCATTTAGTGGGCTTAGAAAAATTTAAGACTTTAAATGGCATGTTCCTGTTTTTAGTTTTCTACATTCGCCTTAGAATCTAGCTGTTTTTTTTGTTGTTGTTACCTTTTCCTTTTAGCCATCCTATTTGTAAAAAAAAAAAATCTGCAGTATGATTTTTTTATAACTGTTTATTGTTGTTGCTGTTGTCCATTGTTGTCATCTTTCTTTGTTGAAATCAGGTCTCTCTTGTAAATGAGTCCTCGAGGCTCAATGGGATTTACCTGTAGAAATAAAGGTTGATTGATTGATTGATTGATTGATTAAACAACATTAAGTTTGGATGT